TTAATAAAGTTCTAGAGTTAGCTGTTCTTATCCATGAACCTAATACTAACACCATATTAGAGGGGATATTCGGATTAAATAGTAATTTAGACTTCGTATATGTTTCAGTTAATCTCGACGAGATCATCCACAATGTGGTAGAGGCGTAACAGGCGCTTAATACTTTATCACTGCTTGAATTTCAAACCGCTAGCTTAGTCATTGCTCAACGATGTGTATAAACGCTATATTTCAATTATCTGGCAGAATTTCAACGTTATTTTCCTAGTGTGAAAGCTTTGCGCCTTCAAACGTTTATATATAAAGTGCATGTGTGCATGTTGCATGCCGCGGTAGCATTCGCTCTTTTACCTTGAGCATTGAAAGCTTTCTTGAAGCATCCTCCAGTTGTTATGTTACTGATATAATTAATACGGATGTTTTGCCAGTGGCCAGCAAAGACAACCAGCTTAACGAACCGGAACGGTACAATTCTCCTAGAACTGCAGTGCTGGTTACAGTAAGCAATATATTTTACCAAGAGGATTTTTCTCCATTCTTTCTCCTCACTAAACTTACCTGTGAAGTGTTTTACATACGCACATACAATAAGCTTCATTTCATAAAGAAGAACAACCAACCAACTCACCACAGACGGATATAATCCGAACAGCATCAGCAAAAGCAGAGGATTCAGAATCCTGAACAGTGCCTGCATTCTGTTTGGAAGCAGTTGCACTTTACTCGCTCATTCACTCACAGCCTTCACTGCAGGACCTTGTCAGGTTTACTACTGGAATATGCCTGGCGATTAAAGCGCCCCAGTGGAACAAGACGGATAGATCCTCATTCATTACACCGCTCTGAGGGCTTTCGCCGTGCAAGCAATACAGAATACTCCGGTCCACACTGTCAACAGGAAAGTTTTGACCTGAAGAGAGATTTCGGGGGCTGCAAAGGAGGTGTTGTAACCTGCACAACGGAAATGACATCACTTTCTTTTCCCTTTGGGATTATGGAAAGTTTTTTGTGTGCATGGGGGTCATTGTTTATGAGAAAGTAATTCTTACCAGAGGAAGTGTTCAATAATGCTAGAAGACACTTAGAGTTTTTCATTTTCCGTTCGAACCAGTTGAATTTTATTCCACATCAATTCTTAAAATATTGCTTTACATTAACAGTTAAACGCATACAGTAAGCCCAGATAGTTCTGGATTCTGCTCGAATACACCTGCAGCATCAGGGCAGACTTGAAGAGTCATTTCTCAGGTACATACTGTATACTCTCTGCATCCCACATAAAGCATGAAATCAGAATTTGTATAGTGTATATGTTTAAGTTAACGTGTATTACAGTATCACACCAAGGTTATAATGGTCACGCGTTAAATGTCCTTGCTACATATTCTGATATACTGTACCAAAAACGCTGTAATGATATCTTGATAAACGATCCCGGTTTATGAAATTCCGAATTCCTGTGCTTTTCCTCACCTCCACTATGCTTTTTATACCTGAGACCTGGGTTAAGCATAATTCACTCTTGGTTTTTTGTTATGCAAGTAAAGGGATACATTGTAAACGCTGCGGTTTCAAGATTTTTTAATGTTATTTAATCGCACAAAGTTTCATAATAACAATTGTACATGGTTTCATTATATTTTTAACTGGTTGCTGATTAACAAAATCCTTTAAGTTGTTTGCTTTTTTCCCCCTGCTTAGCCTGAGAATTTTCATGTCAGTTAAATACATTTCAAATATCCGCCTTCTCTTGCTCTTTTGTTGCTATAGTTGTAAACATCCAAGAAAGAATGATCTTTTTTGTCACTTCCAGAAGGGTCTATATATCACAAGTGTCATTAAAGGTTGATTACTGTTGGCAACAGTATTTATAGTTTGTAGAATAGTATAGAAAAAACCCTTGATGTGAACAGCTTTGCATTTTGTAAGACAGCCTAGGTATCTAATGTACATCTATGTAAATTATAAATAAAATAATTGTTATTGTATATGACATAATGCTACCACTGTCTCATGCCATAAGCATAAAGTTTAACTTAAATTCAAAGCTGTTCTGTTACTACCTTCAGTACTCTGAACTGTACTGTTTTAATGTGCTTTTGCTTCTTTATCTTTCTTACACCTGCTTCTTTACACAGGTGCATGATGACGGAGGACAAAACAAAAAAGTGTTTTGGGGACAATACTAAAATGTTCATTTGGGCAGAAGAAAAGGGTTAGGACTAAGACAGTTCTTAATAACAAACCATGAGCTGTTAATGTGTGCTAAAAGTAATAATATTCACAGTCTTGGCAGCCTGTATACCTACAATAGTATTGCAATTAAGAAATAGTGCAAAGATGGCTCAATTAAATGGTAACAGGTAGTATTATGCCCTTAGAATGTTTGCTAGGCTGTGATAACCAGACAAATCCTGAAATATATTTCATGTATTAAGTGAAATTGGCAGCATAACTGGAGTAAAATCATCGGGACACTCTGCTCAAATGTATATCTTATTGTTAAGTAACATCGACACCTGTTCTTGGTGCAAGGTTAGTAGGAAGATGTCTACTGGATCATCATCTATCATGTACCCAACATACGCAGAGGTGCTTAACATTACATCTGGAAGATTTGGACTTTTGTCCTTGACCAATTCTATTATTAGCAGTACTAGTTTCAAGTACACTTGACAGAATGTTGATTATGCTCCAGCTAACCATGGAGTTGGGCTGCAGTCTGTTGCATAGGGTGGCCTTCACTAGCTTAGGCTTTGATTTCTACATGCTTGTCATATGATATTTCCTCCCCAGGAGTCATTGCATTCACCAGAGTTTCATCAGACCACAAAGGCATACAATACTTTATGTTAAGGTATGATGCTTTCTGATTGTAATCACAGAGCATACAGCACCAAAATATGAAGTACCTTTACACAGTGCATTGCATTTTTGTACAATATGTGGTATTTGTACATTATTTGTATTTTATGCCAATATTTTCTTTGTTTTTTTAGTTTTGTCCAATTCTATCATGAAAAGTTTGAATATGAAAAAACAGAACAGATTAATATAACATTTTTGGGATCTTAGTGGCACTCAATAAATACAGTATGTCATACATACTGTATAAACTGAAGTAAATCTGTATTTTGGTGCTTAACATTACATCTGTTATGTATTCCTAACATAAAAAAGACATGGCTCAGTTTTATTAAGTGCATACCTGCCTATAGCTGAACAATACCTATAAATATGTTTTTACACAATTGTTTCCATAATTAGATTTCCAAGTATTTATTATAAGAGGACAGTTCCAGAGGGCTCTGCACAGTTGGAGTCCAGGTTGTAAATGAAGTGTATGTTAAAGGCAACTCTAATACGTGATCCATATAATTATACTTGAAATTGGTGAAAAATAATTTCTGTTTTCCACAGCAGTAGCCCGTTCGTCATTCAACCATTAAAAAAACTGTTTCTCAAAATCCCATTTTCTCCTTTCCATTTCTTTCCAAAATACTCTGGATTTAAAGCCATCCTCTAACCCATTATTGCTGCCCAGAACGTAGATCCTGTCTTAGCCAACCACAGAAAACTCCATTGATCTCCATATGACTGTGGAAATTAGGGGATGGTTCAACACTTCTGTGGTGTCCCTCACTGCTTCTTAGCCTCAACATAGAGCTCTGTATGCACAATATGATAAATGCAGCGGCTATCTCACTCTGCAACTCACAACTGGCAACCTGCTGAAGCTATGCAGGTATCAGCCTGCCCAATACATGTATCAGAGACATCCTAGGATAGCTAAAGTTGCTTCTGGAAGATGTGTTAGTAGGTCCAGTAGGGGGCACTCACCAAGTGACCTGTGTTGGTCCTAATGATGGGAACACTATACTGTATAAAGACGCCATCCTTCTGATGAGACGTAAAACCCGAGGTCCTGACTCACAGTGGTCATCAATAATCCCAGGGTGTTTCTTGAAAAGAGTAGGGGAATTACCCCGGCATTCTGGCCAAATTTCCCCCTGACCTTTACCAATCACGGCCTCGTAATAATCCCCATGTATGATTTGTCTTAATCACGCTCCTCTCCTCCCCACTGAGAGCTGATGTGTGGTGAGTGTGAACTATGGCTACACTCACATCATCCAGATGGGGCTTGCACTTTGGTAATGGTGGATTAACTGTAAAGCCCTCTGAGTGGAAAAGGAATATATAAGTGTAAGGAATTATTATTATTATTATTATTATTATTATTATTATTATTATTATTATTATTATCATGTCAAGATTGGAAAGGGCTCATTGGCACAAAGAGAATGTGGAAGCTGCCAGAGCTGAGAAGTCCTCCATAAGGGCAAATTTCTCTTATCTTCTTGTGATTAAATATAAATCGCCTAAACATTAATATCCACTTTTGCTGAAATGCCTGACCTCTGATTGGTGTTGGTTCTGGAGCTGGCTTCTTCACCCTTATTAAGATCGCTTTCTGTTACTATCAAGAAGTCAAATTAAGTTAGGTATGATCGTTGGCAGCAGCCATCCAGCACAGACACTTCTTCAGATTAAACATCCATTTGTCTAATAATTCATTAGTAAATCACTGAATATATAAATCAATTTAATTGTAATTAACTAACAGCCAGATAAGTGACTAAGTAGTACAGAACAAGACATAATACTT